CGCCCCCCTTCGTCCCCACGTTTTCTTGCAGAGACTTTGTTGCACCATCCGACAATGTCTTCTCTTTGTGTGTTGAGTTTTTTCTTGTAAACGGTTGTGTTTAATTTTGCGAATGGGCTGCGGCAGCCATGCTTGTCATGCCCTCTCCCCTCGGTCCCCTTGTGCCCAAGTTTTATTGTAAAGACGTTGTTCGCACCGTTCGACATGCCTTCTCATTGGGTGTTTTTTTCCCTTGTAAACGGTTGTGGTATTTTTATTGCGTGTGGGCTGCGGCAGTAATGCTTGTCATGCCCCCCGCCACTTTCCCACGTTATTAGTAAAGACGCTGTTGCACCCTGTTCCCCCGACTCTGTTATGCCGGTTGTTTCGCCGTGCGTGTGTGTGACCAGCATCGGTGCCCTATGTGCTGCAACGTACCGCTGACTCCTTCGGGGTGCCCCTTCTGTGCCCCCTGTTACTGTGATGCTGATTGAAATTTCGTGTCACCGTTACACTGGTGGAAAATGATTGTGGTTGGTTGTCAGGGATAGAATCCCTCTTGACGCCTTCTATAATTGCAGTTGAGAAGAAGACCCGTCTTGCAAGACCACCTCGCCTTCGTGCGACGACCTTTGCATACACCGCATGCCTCCCAGGCCGTAAAGACAGGCAGGTGGAAACAAATATGCATGCACAACAAGAAAACCACACACACGGGGGACGGTGGGGGGTCTGCAGCAAAAAGTATTACTGCCGTAGTCCGTACGCGAAACAAAGGGCACGCACGCTACAAGAAAATGTTCACCCGAGCACCACACAAGTCACACGGTACAACCAAAAAACACGCGGTGGGTACAGGGGACGAGGAAGGCGGGGCGGTGGGAATGAACATAAAATCCATTGCTGCCGTACCATGTACCCAAAAAAACAATCACACACGCTACCAGGAAATGATCACCCGAGCACCACACAAGTCAGACGGTACAACCAAAAAACACGTGGTGGGTACAGGGGACGGGGAAGGGGGGGTGGAATGGGAATGAAAATAAAATCCATTGCTGCCGTACCATGTTCCCAAAAAAACAGACACGCACGCTACAAGAAAATGTTCACCCGAAGGCTGCACAGGTCCGACCGTGCTGCAGCGGTTTGTGTAAGACAAGGTGGGACGCAACATTGACACTATGCAACGCTCTACAGTACACCGGAGTCGATCGCCTAGAAAGCCAGACAATGTCCTTCTTGTGCTTCTTGCGGTACGCGAAGCTCGTATTAAGCTTCCTCTTGCGCTCCCCGTGCCCTTCTCTTTCGTTGGTGTCCTTCGCCCCAACAGAGCTAGAGTCCGCCTCCTGCTCGGTCGCCACCCCAGTCCCCGCCCCGGCACTGCTGACCCAGTGCGTGTTCCCCATCACCTGGTCCATTCCGTCGAAGGTGTGCAGCATGTTGTGCAAGATGCAGCACGTGAAAAACACGTTGTCGATGCGCTCCTGCTCGGGGTACGCCATGGCGAGCTTCAGGATCCTGAAGCGACCCTTCAGGATGCCGAAGAAGCACTCCACGTCCTTGCGCACGCTCTCCAGCCTCTTCGAAAAGAGGATGTCTTTCTCGCTCAGTGGGTACTCGGTGGGTTCCATCAGGATTTTCCACTGAACAAAAAAACGACAAGGGGAAGGGATAAGGGCCGAGGGAGGAACATTTCGATTCGACGCTGTTCACAAGCTGCGAAATAGGGGGGGGGGGTCTTCGAGTCGAAGGGGCGTGCAATGGAAATACCAATCAAACAACCTAAAGCCATGACACACCTCATGTCAACTTCAAGAGCGGGCAACCGAGGTTCTGATTTCCCGAGACAA